TGGAACCCATAATTTGTTATGATCCACACAATTGAATGCTTTTGCATAGTCAATAAAAGACAAGTAAACATCATTCCAGTATTCTTTGCATTCAGCCAAGATCCATCTAACATCAGCATGATATACCTCATTCCGCATCCTCTTCTGAATCCACCTTGCATTTCTGGAAGTTCTCTATAAATATATTGCTATAGCTGCTTTGAATTATCTTCCATAAGATTTTATTTGCATGTGATATTAATGGTATTGTTCGATAATTTCCACATTCTGTGGCATCATCTTTCTTTGGAATGGGTATAAATATGGATCTCTTCCAATCAATTGGCCAGGTACCTGTCTTCCAAATCTCTTGGCACAGCCAAGTGAGTGCCTCCAGCCAGGCATCCATTTATTGAAATGTCTCAATGGATATTCTGTCAATTTCTGGAACCTCATTCTTTGCCAGTTCCTTCAGCGCAGCTTCGACTTCTTCCTTCAGTACCATTGGTTCTTGATCATATGTCACCTCCTGAAATGGATGAACATCAAACAATTCTTTTTGGTACTGTGACGGTGTGTATTCCTGCCATCTTCTTTTGATGTTTCCTGCATCATTCAATATGTTGCCCATTGAATCTTTCAATATTGCAACTCAAGGCTTAAATTTTTTCCTCAGTTCTTTCAGCTTTAGAAATGCCGAGCATTTTTTTCCCTGTTGGTTTTCTAATTCCAGGTTATTACACATTTAATTATAATAACTGGCTTTGTTTTCTCAAGCTGCTCTTCGAAATCTTCTGTTCAGCTCTCTTATCTTGTCATTTCTTCCATTTGCTTTAGCTAGGCTCTATTTAAGGGCAAGTTTTAGAGTCTCTTCTGACATCCATTTTGGTCTTTTATTCCTTTATTGTCTTTTTAATGACTTCTTGCTTTCTTCATGGATGAGATTCTTGATGTCACTCCACAATTCCTTTGGTTTTCAGTCACTGGTGTTCAATGCATCAAATCTGTTCTTTAGATAGTTGTTAAATTTAGGAGAGATATAATCAAGGTCATATTTTGGCTCTCGTGGACTTGTTTTAATTGTCTTCAACTTCAGCTTGAACTTGCATAATAGCAGTTGATAGTCTGTTCCAATCAGCTCCTGCCCTTGTTTTGACTGAAGATATTGAGCTTCTCCATCACCTCTTGCCACAGATGTAGTCAATCTAATTCCTGTGTATTCCATCTGGCAAAGTCCACATGTACAGCTGCCATTTGTGTTGCTGAATAAAGATATTTGCCATGAATAAGTCATTGTTGTTGTTGTTGTTGTTGTTATGTGCTGTCAAGTCGGGCCTGACTCATAGTGACCCCTCCTTGGGTTTCCAAGGCAGTATTACTACAGAAGTAGGATTGCCCAACCTTCCTTCCAAGGAGTGGCTGGTGGGTTTGAACCGTCAGCCTTCTGGTTAGCAGTCAAATGCCTTAGGCACTATGCTACCAGAGGTCCTGAATAGGTCATTGGACTTGCAAAATTCTATCATGTGATCTCCAGCATTATTTTTATCACCAAGGCCATATATTCCAACTACTGGTGATTCTTCTTCTTTTTTTTTTTAATTGTGATTTGGGTGAAAGTTTACAGAGCAAATTCACTTTCCATACAGCAGTTCACACACAGGTTGTCTCATGACATTGACTACAATTAACCTCAATGCAACAGCTCCCCTCCCACTTCCTCCCAATAGTTACCTCTTCCCTGTATCCATCCCTACATGCATTCCTGCCCCCTGAACTGTCTCCCTGTGCGTAAACATCCCTTCGTTCTCTCATAATTGTTCTCTCCAAGTAGTGTATCCACTTCAGGTAATATGCCTGCTTTTGTTTGGCTGGAAGCCACAGGTGTGGGTTCAGTTACAGACCTGACGGGCAGCTAGGGACAATAGTCTCAGTGGTTCCACCAGGCTCTATCAGACCAGCAAACCTGGTCCCCCCACCTTTGTTTTACACAAATGATTTTGAGTTTTGTTCTACATTTCTCCCTCTCTATCCAGGATCTCCTCCATAGATTCCCCTCTGAGTGGTTGACAGTGGTAGCCAGGCACCATCTAGTTCTTCTGGTCTTAGTCGTACAGACTGAGGACTGCATGGTGTATGAGTCACCAGGACTAATTGCTTCCATGAATCTTTGTTTTTCTTCATTCTTCTTTGCTCTGGATGAGGAGAGACCCATCATTGCATCTAGATGGCTGCTTGCAACCTTTTAAGACTAGTGATTCTTCTTTGTTTCTAACTTTTGCATTCCAATCACCAGTGATAAACAACACATCTTGATTGTATGTTCGGTCAATTTCAGACTGCAGAACTTGGTAAAAATATTCAATTTCCTCTTCTTTGGCTTTGGTGGTTGGTGCATACATTTGAATAGAAGTAATATTAACTGGTCTTCCTTGCATGTGTATGGATATTATCCTATTGCTGACAGCACTGTAGTTCCAGACAGATCTTGAAACATTCTTTGTGACAATGAATGCCACTCCACTCCTCTTCAATCTGTCACTCCCAGCATAGTAGATCATATAGTTGTCTGATTCAAAATGGCCAGAACCAGTCCATTTCAGCTAACCAATGCCTAGGATATCGATCTTTATGTGTTCAATTTCATTTTTGACAATTTCCAATCTTCCTAGATTCATACTTCATACATTCCATGTTCCGATTATTAATGGATGCCTGCAGCTGTTTCTTCTCAAGTGAGTTGTACCACATCAGCAAATGGAGGTCCTGAAAGCTTTACTCTACCCGCATCATTAAGGTCAGCCTTCTAACCTGAGAGGCTCATCTTCTGGCATTATATACGAGAATGTTTCAGGGCTATTCATAAAGGTTTCCAGTAATATATTGGGCAGTGTTTCACTGCTATTCGTAAGGTTTTCATTGGCCAATTCTTTAAGAAGTGGATGGCCTCTTCCTTCTTTGGAGTCTGTCCTAGTCTGGAAGCTCCACTGAAACCTATCCACCACGGGTAACCCTGCTGGCATTTGCAACACTGGTGGTACAGCCTCCAACCTCATAGCAACGTGTTAGCCACCACAGGACAACAAACTGACAGACAAGTTCATCTCCTTTAGCTGTTCCAAACCGCTCTGCTCACTTCCTGGCCTTCCTTACAGCCACCTCCAAAAGCCCCTGGCGCCTGGCACCCTCTCTGGGCTGCCCCTTAAAGCTGCCCTGAAAAGCCCCGGGCGCCTGGCTCCCCCTCTGGGCCATCCCTTAATACCACCTCCAAGAGCCCCTGGCACCCAGCTCCCCTTAAAGGCTGCCCATTAAAGCCACCTCCAAAAGCCCCCGGCACCTGGCTCCTAAAATTAGTTGTTGTTACGTGCCGGCGAGTCGGCCCCAACTCATAGCGACCCCTCCTTGGGTTTCCGAGGTCTTATCACTATGGAAGTAGATTGCCCAACCCTCCTTCTGATGAGTGGATGGTAAAATTAGTAGAAGAGGGTAATTAAATTGCAGTTTTGACTGAAATGCATTCCCCTTATTGAAAGTCAGCATATATTCCTTCTCTTGGATAAAAATTACAAATAAACCTATCAAGGCAGGAATTCTTTGATGGGATGCTCTTAAATTTGCCATGAAGGATCTCAGGACCAGCTATTACCACGGGGCCTCTTCCCTGGGCTGATAGGCATTTCCAGCCAAATGACCAAAGGGTTTGGGCTATAGCACTGCATTGCTCCTCTCTGATCTCTCTTCTCCATCTCAGTGATCACAGCACATCAGGAAAATGAAGATAGTAAAACATTAAAAAATAGGGATTTCTGTTCCTGGAGAATTCTTTTCAACTACTTATCTGAGGTAAATTTTATCTAGAAATAACACTTTTTTTCATTAACATTTTAATAACCCCAAATTGTTATCGAGTAGAAGCAATGAAAACAGACGTGACAGATTCAATTCTGTTATAATTTGTTCCTGAAAGTTCTTAAATGAATTTTCAAAATATCATAAAACCGCTTATGGTAGGCACCCTCCAAGACGGCACCAAAGACTCTCCTCTCGGCGTTCATGCCCTCCAGTTGTCCCAAGCTGGCCCTGTGTGGTGAACAGAATAAAATGGCAATGACAGTGTAGGACTTATGAGGCTAGGTCATTAAAGGCATTGCTGCTTTTACCCCTTGGATTCCTTGATCTGGGAAAAGCCAGACACTGCTCTGTGAGGATAGCCAATTCTGTGGAGAGGACCACCTGGAGAGGAACTGAGGCCCCTAGCCAAAAGCCAGCACTAACTTGCGAGCCATGTGAATAAGGACATTGGGAGTGGATCCTCCTGCCTCAGTCAAGCCTTCAGATGACTGCAGCCCTATCTGACAATTTGACTGCAACCTCATAAGAGATGCTGAACCAAAACCACCCATGTAGGCCACTACCAAGTTCCTCACTTACAGACACCATAAGAAACAGTAAATTATTTTTGATTTAGGCCACCAAGTTTTGGAGTAATATGTTATGCAGTCATAGCAACCAATATCTGTTCTATAATGGTGTCTCAGGATGGCACAACAATTAATGTGCTCAACTACTAACCAAAAGGTTGATGGCTCAAGTCTACCCAAAAGCATCTTAGGTCTGGCAATCTACTTTTACAAATCAGCCACTGAAAACTCTCTGAACACAGTTCTACTCTGACCCATGTGGTGTTGCCATAATTTGGAATTGACTTGATGGCAACAATATTTTTAATGATATAGTAGAGAAAGAAAAGAAACCAAACTCAAAGGTAGTCAGTTTAGTTCTCTCATAAATTGTTCCTGAAATTCTTAAATGAATGTTTAAAATGTGTTTCAGGGGCAATGATGTGCGGCTTTATAGAAATTTCCTTGACATTTAATTTCTGTAATGATTAAAGACAAGTTGCTGAGCTATGTTGTTTTGCAAATAAATAAGAATTCATTTTTAAAGGAAAAAAAGTATGTATTTTAAAGTAGGGAACGTGACGTAATCATTAAGCTATATAATTAAATATTTAAAAAAACAAAACTGAGGACCACAAAAGTTTAATGAAAAAAGTAATTTTATAAATGTGTTGTATGTCATTTCAAAAGAAATGTAAGTGGGAAATATGCTGTTATTAACTATTTGGAAGAGAGAAGACATGTAGGAAGTAGGGAGTGGCAATGCAGAGAGAGGAAGGCACAGAGAAGAGTAACAAAATGAAAAAAGAAAAAGGCTGAAACAGAGACAAGACTTAGGGGCAGATGCTCAGAGGGAGAGAAAGGGAAAGACCAAAATGGACAAAGCCAGAGACAGTAAATAAGAGGGGAGAGTTTGAAGGAGACATAGAGATAGAAGGTTTGACACAAAAATATTTCACACTGAGATGCTTGGATTATACTCTGAAAAAAGGCATATATACCAAAGAGTGATGCAACTCAGACAGACACAGAAGATGAGATCAAAGGCCTTATACTGATATCTTTTAGGATATTTCTGAAACAGATTCCACAGGGTAAATGATACTATCTCCTTTTTCTTCTTGCCTCAAGGGTTGGACAGCAAGTAGATCATACTGCTTTTGATTTACAGCTTGCCAAAGATAATTAGACAGAGTATTGGTTAAATATATTGCCATGGAGATCTTTATCCTGCAGACCAGATTTATTCTGCTTCAGCAAAGAAATAAAGACACATCAAAGATTTACAAATATTACTCAGGACCAATCCACCTGAGCTCAGTTTATAGGATAATAATGATCAATTATAGGGATAGGACCAACTAGAACAATTAAAAATAATTTTGAATATTTGGATACTCAGGTCAGGAGAACTATTTGTATAATATATACCATCCACGTACAAAAAGATATGCAGGACACTTACATCTCTAATGAAATGCTCAAGTGTAGCATAAGCAATGGCGATTCCATCGTGGGTGCTCGTCCCTCGTCCCAATTCATCCAAGATGACCAAGGACTGTGATGTTGCTTTTCTTATTATTTCTGCTGTGTCTGTCAGTTCTTCCATAAATGTACTTCGCCCTTTATATATATTGTCTGCAGCTCCCATCCTATAAATAAGATGAAGATAACCTTGATTCTTCCTCTGAACTTCCTCATTAGAAAGTAAAGCATCATTTTATTAACAGTAAGTATAAAAGGCCCCTCTAGAGGTCTATATATTTCGAGCCAATAACAGCTGAAATGATATTAAACAGAAGAAAACATACGTGCCTTTTATCTAACTCCACCTTGTAGAGAGCCTGAGGTACTGGACAGTTTCTGAAGAGTGGGGAAACATTTAATCCTGCCTTTTTTGACCATTCCAAACCAAATTTTTGTTACTGAGAGGGCAA